GGGGGGGGGGGGGGACCTTCCTGCTTCCTCCCCATGCCCTTCTGGTTTCTCCTTCCTGGCGTGGCCCGTCCCACACGGAGAGGACGCCGAGGCGAATACACCTGGTCCGCCGGGAGCGCAGCCACGCAATACCTGACAACAACGTGACGCTTCACCCTTAGCGCGTCTCTTCACGTGTGTTCCTTGCAAACAACTACTTCAGGGGAAATGTCCCCATTGTGCACCTTGGATAACTGAACACCAAAGGGGCTAAGTCCAAGGTGCCACCGCATAGACTCTCCGAGCTTTTCACTAAAACAGGATGCTCAATCTGTTAGGAGTTTTGCAAAACTAGCCCCATCAAAGTAGCATCTATATGGGAAGGCGGGGTGGGACTTAAGTTAGAAGGTTCTACCTAAAATCTTTCTGCCGGGTCCTTAGCATGATAATCTTCAACCTCTATTATTTAAACAACTCAGTAATGACCAGGGGCCTGTGTACTTTCAAAGATGCTAGTGCCCAATATCGAAAAATTAGCATGTTTAGTAACTGCTCTGCTGCTCTTGGGTGGGAGGCGATGCTCCTGGCTTCATGGGTGTGGGGGGACTTCATGTTGTTTTTCCAGGCGTGTTGTGTGTGTGTGTGTGTGTGTGTGTGTGTGTGTTTTGTTGTGTTTTGTGTGTGTGGGGGGGAGCCAATTATAAGTGTATGTCTCACATAGACACTGGTGAACTAAGAGGGAGTGGAGGTCAGCATATATAGTTTGATTCTGGAATAGTTATCTAGTGCCAAGGTATATTGGTGTAGGGGAGGAAACCTTCGCTTGGGCATCTTTATCACTATGCCCAGGATATTCAAATTGACATTTCCTTTTTCTATAAATGTCATCTTTTTACATATGAAAAGAAAAGCAAAAAATCATGAGCCTGGTTTTACATGTTCTTCTGGAGCTGAATGCCAGCCCACAGAAGTGCCACTGCTCATTTTTGTTTCCATTCAATGGAGCTACAGCAACCATCCCTCCTGCGATGCAGATACATACTGGATACTGTAATAGTCCTTGCCCTCTTCTAACAGTGCAATAGGAGAAAGCACACCTAAATGAGTATAGTATAGTGCATGGTACATACACAGCAGGTGCCTAATAAATACCTGTTGAGTGAATGAGATCTCAACGGAATGTGATAAATACAAAAGTAGCTTGGTTTAAATTCTGCAGGAAAACATGAGGGAAATCAATTATAGGTGAGGTGGTCAGGGAAGGCATCCTGGAGGTGGTGACAGGTGCCAGATTTTGATATGAACGGGCTTAGGAATGAAAGTGAGGAAGTATGTTTGCTATGCTTTCAGGACATGCAGAGGCAGAGGTTCCTAACCATTTGTAGGTAATAGGCCCGTGTGAGAATCTGATAGAAGCTTTGGAACTCTCCTGTATAAAAAATAAAAGTAAAAATATGTGCATACATTTCCTGAGATTTCACAGACTGGCTAAAGCAGATCTGTGGAATCCCTAGAGGTCTGTGGGCTTGAGTTATCATTTTCTTATTTGGAGGCAGGAAAAAAATAAAGAGATTACTTTCTTTGAGGCCATCATAGGAGACATTTCCATGGCCACTAACAGAATTTGGATAATGGCTGAAGGAATGGAAAGAAAAATGTTCTATAAAGAAAATGTATACACTTGGAAGCATTTCCTCTTTGAAGCTGGACCTTGTAACATTTTTGTTCCTTTGTACATGAGAATTTCACTTTCATCTTTCAACAAAAGGGGGAAGACATAGACAAAATATGACTGTCAGACATTGGGAGTTGCCGATCCTAAGTGGGTACATGGAAGGGGTTATTATATTATTATCTCCTCATTTGTGATGTTTGATAATTTTCATGAAAAAAAATTAAATGATTTTTACTCTCAGATAGACATAACCAACCCTATGACATTTCTTAACTTAGCTTGTTAAAATGGACATTTTGTATTAAACAAGGAAAAAAGGAAACAAAACAATAACAAGTATACTAGTGATGCCAACATAAGATTACTAATAAATGCAGTCTCCATAGAAACAGTGGGGTTTTCTCTTATAATTAATCATGAAGTGTGTAACAATGTTTTCAAGTGTTCTGTTTCTTTCTAAACTTGCACTTTATTTTATATTGCTTAGTTAAGTCAGTTCCTTTATTATTACATATAATATATACTATTGTATTGCTGTATATAATTATGTAATAATAACTATCTATATATATAGAAGCTTACACGACCATCCGACCATTATGTGCACCGGGCCTCTAGTCTATATATATAAAAGCTTACGCGACCATCCGACCATTATACCATCTGACCAGTAGCTATGACGTGCACTGACCACCAGGGGGCAGATGCTCAATGCAGGAGCTGCCAAGCTGCGGTGACTTGGCAGCTGTGGTTCTCAGGTGATGCACCTGAAACCAGAGAGGAGGGAGTCCAATTACGGGCTGTGTCACCTGAGAACCACCCTCTCGCAATCTGGGACCCCTCGGGGGATGTCGGAGAGCGGGTTTTGGCCCGATCCCCGCAGGCCCGGCCGAGGGACCCAACCCGGTGCATGTGCACCGGGCCTCTAGTAGAGTATATTACTACATCTGATTGTTAGTATGTTGTTTAGCCAACTCCATTCGTTTATTCACTCTCTGTGTCTAGCACACAGCTTTCGGGGAGCAGATTGCAGGCCGTGTTTCTCTGAGTGCTTGCCCTGCCCTCCTTTGAGAAAGACAGTGGCAGTGGTCCCTTACATATGGGGTGCCATACTACCCATCATGGGACTAACTCAGCCAAGGATTCGTGACTACCAGAAGGCGCTATCTAGTTTGTCCTGTGGCCTACAAGGCAGAGGCCAAAGAAGGTTGCCAAATAGAAGATGATCAGTACCAATCAGATTCCCCTCCCCCCATGTCTTACAGGCAAGATTTGGATTTGAACCCAGGCAGTGAGTGCTCCAGGGCCTGTGTTCCTACCCACTCTGTTCACTGCCCCCGGAGAAGCAAAAACACAGTTAAGTGAGCTGCATGCATGACCGAGTGGCACTGTAGGAGCAATGGATGCCTTGACAATTGAGAGGCTCACCTTACCATAGGACCCGGGGCTGCTGTGTTTCCATGTCGGTCTTCCAGCACCTTCTTCCAGCTCATGGCTGTGGACATTATGACTTGCCCTTCCTTACTTCCTCTTGCAGTCTCATGACAAAGTGATGTCAAGGTAGATAACCCGTTTCTTTTTTTACAACCTCCATGAGCACAACCGCATGATAGCACATGATTGTTTCTACCGCTGCCAGTACAGGAAGCGCTATCCTGTCTACCATCTGAGTGGCCTTCTTTCCTCTTCATAAAACACGGGAGACACCTTCTTAGAGATGTTATCTGAAAGCAAATGTTTACAAATCAAATCACATTTTCCAATTGACTTTTTTTTTTTTTGTAAAATAAATCTTTTCCCACAAAAATAACATTTTCCCTTGGAACCATTATGAAAATTATATCCAGAATTTAGCGGCTATTATTTTTAACCGCTTACTTAATGGAATTATGGAAGGAAATAGAATCAGTAAATACGATAACCAAATTATTTCATGTCCCTTCTGCTTGAGGTCTATTACCAACTTTCCATTGCTTACTCAATTCCACAAATCCATGGAGTAGGGTACAGCACCCCTCACAGCCTGGCCCCAATGCACTTCCTGGGGCTCAAGGAAAATCGTAAGATCTCTCCAGCATATGCAGCCCTCAACTTCACACTTCTAGTTTCTTAAATTATGGCATTTACTAGTATATAGAAATTCAGCTAAGTTATTTTCCTAGAACGTTTGACCATTATTTATTTTATCCTCATTGTCTATCACAGTTCTTAGCACTTAGAGCTCAATGCATATATTGGATCTCGTTCATTTTCATATATTACAATGAGTCTCAAAATCTGTTGCATGATGCTTATGTAACTCTTTCATTCATTTCCAATCTGAGCATCGACTACATAAAGCCCTGATCAAAGAACCGGCTGTTGAACCATTTTGGGTCCTTATCTAGTCTTACTAGAATGAAGACTTTGAAAAATATTGCTGTGTTTTTACCCACATTTCTCCTCCTTTCTAAGTCATTCCATATTTATTGAATGATTGTAACTAGTTTAGCATGATACTATCTTGGTGCATTTATTTATTCAACCAAGTCTTCATTGAAGACTTGGGGATGATGTGCCAGGCACTGTGCTAGGAAAACAGTGGCGAGCAAAACAAATAAAAGACCCAACCTCCTATAACTGATGGTTTAGTGGGATGACAGGCATTAGTCACACAACCACGTGTACTACAAATAAAATGTGTGATGCCAAACTGAAACAAGTATCAGGAAGGCAAGTCACAGCGTGTCATGCGAGCTCAGGTGTCCCCTGTCTCTCCTAGAGGGGACATGGGTGTAGGATTCGTCTTTGTGGCCTTAGTTTAGCCCAGAGCTGTGCGTATGGAGGTGATCAACAAGTTTTTGTTGAGGGAACATATGTATCT